TTGTTTCTCCACTCCTTAGAAAGACGATTGGTTGATGGAAAGGGGCAAGCAGTCTAGAAAAATAAGACTACATGGAGGTCTTTGTGTGGACAATTTGCTCCTTTTATGACGTAAGAATGCAATTGATGAGGACTCTTAAACATCCAAGGTAGGAGACGTGAGAACTTATAGTGGAAACTTTGACATTGAACCAAAGTTTAGAAAGAAAGGAATTGTTTTGTGAGTTATGCTGGTTTCTAGTGAATAGGGAAGACCTAAAAATCGATGAATGAAGCTATCAGGTTCATCTCGAGGGCATGCTTGCCTGAGTGTTGTAGGGCCTTCCTCTAGAAGAAAAATATCATAGGGCCTTCCTCCAGTCCAAACAAGTTTGCATCCCTTTCGTTTAAAACTCTCAAAGATGATCGAGACACAAGAAACATTATTCCCCATCATTTGAGCAACCAATATGTATTGTAAGCATTCTTTTTTCCTTTATTTTCTTTTGGGGTGATCATGTACTCTCTATAATATTGAAAAACAAAAAGGTTGTGAAAGTAAATACTAAATAAAATAATTAATATTATAATAATTCAGAATTTAAATTTTACATCAAACTTACTAGCATTCATTTTCTATATATATGTGTGTGTGTGTGTATATATGTGTATATATGTGTATATGTATATGTATATATATGTATATAGTATAAGCATGTTAGAGCATGTTAGACAACAAGCTCATACACAAGCTCAATATTTTAAAATTACTACTATGAGTACTAGAGGGATATAGGATTTACTATATACAAGATTTGATGGATTAGATTCAATCCCGAATAGATAGTCTAACTATAATTAGCATATTACCTAGGCAAAGTAATATATATGTATATGTATATGTATTATAAACCACCATCTAGAAGATGAAAAAAGTGATGATGATAAGTTAAGTGGATTATTTGAAGTTTATATTGGGCAATTATAAATTACCATAAGAATTTTAAACTTCCATGGAACCACCAACATAGTTGCTGAAAACCATAACTAAAACAAAACCCAAAGCCATGGCACAAATGTTAATCAATTACAAAATCCCCATGAATTAACTACCAAATGCTCAAATTAACCTCAAAGCCATAATTTTGAACTAAAGCAAGGGACTTCAAGAACCATTATAGTCCATGAAACAGTTCAAAGCAAGGGACTTCAAGAACCATTATAGTCTATGAAATAGTTCAAAACAAGGGACTTCAAGAACCATTATAATCCATGAAACAAAATTGCAATAAATGATATATCCTACATTTAAGTCTACTCACTGATGATCCTTCAAGACCACTATCAACTTAAATTCACAACTATAAGCAAAATTTGCCTTTACATCTTCCCTTTAGTCAACATCTAAAACCATGTTAACTCGAACTCATGACTTTTATCCTTGTTCAACAATATATATATATATAAGAGGTCTAACTTACTCTATTCATCATCTACATTCTCCTTATCCTCTTCTTAAAGTACAAAGAGTTCTTAAACATTAGCTTTATTTGGATTTACTATGTTCGTCTTCACTTTGTCATTTATGTTTAGTTACACTCCACTATCACATTTGTTTAACCTCACTATATTAGGGTTTGATGTTCTGTTTGAATTCACTATGCTCTTCCTCACTTCACAATCCATATCACTTATCCTCAATCCATTATTGTATCCATTCATCCTTATTCTATTATTAAAGCCAAACTCCTATTTGTCCCCTTTACCCTATCTTCTGAAGAAAATAAGTTTGAAACATTAGGGAAAAGAGGAAAAACAAGAAAAATTGAGGAAGAAATATTATGGAAAAAGAAAAAATGGATAAGAAGTATTAGAAGAGGAATTTTTAACAATTATCAATTGAAAAATGGTGAAATAAAAAAGACATATGCTCAAAGTTGGAGAAATAAGGGATTTCCTATTATAGCGTAAGCTCACACAATATGGTTCAAAAGCGAGTTAACTACACGTTGAAAAAGGCACAAACATTCAAATGACTTACTGGAAGTGTTGCGACCATAAGCCCCAAATAATTTGGCCACCACAATATAAGCAAATGATTCATAGCGCTAACCTTCTCAATACAAAACTCAACATTTAAGATAGGAAAATTAATAAAAACATCCACACTCTCAAGAGAACACATAAACTTTTTAACAACAATGGTAAAACAAAGGCTCTCAATAACACTCATAAATAGGGACATACACTTAACCCAAAACTAACGACTCAATCCTTGGAACAAAGGAATACTCATTATTAGAATTGATCAAAGACTTTGCCAATGAAACAAAAGTAAAATTCTTAATTTCATGCATATACTCAATATCTAGATTAATATAAAGAGGACAAAAGACACTCAAATTAACACTTGACTAATAATAAGAATCACAAGAGTCACAATTGATTAACGTGAGAGGAAAAGGAAACACTAAGAACATAAGAAGATGGCTTAGGCTGAGAAATAAGAAAAAAGTTAAGTAAGGAATCAATTTACCAAAGTGTTGTAAGCTAAAAATCATGATTGGAATGATAAAAAGTCCATTGGATGAGATCAAGTTTAAAACTAAGTTTAAGACCGACTCTGAGACTAAGTCTGAGACCAAGTTAGAGTATTAATATAAGTCATGGGGTCAAAACCTGAAGTGCTCATCCTAGGGGGGCTACTTCCAAGGAGTATTATAATAGGGATAGTGAGGCTAAGGACTTAGTTTTGAAAGAATTTTTCAATAGTGCTTCTAAGCTGAGTTAAGGTTAAGATTAAGGGTTAAGAACCTTGGAGTGAGTATAGGCTTGAGAAGTGTCAAATAAACTCCTCAAAGAAATGGTCAAGAGCAACTTCCACTTCTAGAAAGGAAACTAACTGTAATGCTCTTGACTCAAATGGAATAATGCCCCATTCGAGTACTATTAAGCTTATTGATTCTTGCCCCTTCCTAGGAGCTTGAGCCTTCCCTTTGGGACGGAGGTGTAGAGTTAAGGTATTTATATTGAGCCATTAAACCATAGTGTTTCCCCTTAGTGTCCCAAACGAAAAAATGCACTCAAGGCTTAGGATTTTTTAGGAATTTATAAAAAGTTGGCTAACACTATATTACCTATGTAGTAAGTAGCTAAACTTAAATAAGACTAAGCCGAAGTTGGCGTGATAGACAGGAATCTTGGCAAGGGGATTTAGCTAAATCCAAAGCAAAGATAGTTAAATAGACAATATAAATTAACAAATTGGAAAAAAAAAATTGTAACTTACAATTTGGTATGGGAACTTCTTCTCAATTTTACCGAAGGATAGAGATGCCCTCAAATGCTACTTTACATCTAAAGGATGAGTTAAGTAAGTTGAAGCAAACAAGAACCATTTAAGAATATATGAATGCATTTATGGCCAAAAGGATCTTTGTCACAGATATGGTTAACATAGATGCATTCCACACTTTTATCTTAAGATTGCAAACCTGGGCTCAGGGTAAGGTGATGCACTAGAACTCGTTAAAATACAAATAAGCATTAAATGTTATGCTAGACTCACACAAACAACTACTTTGATTCACTTCCTATGCTAAGCAATAATCCCAAGTCTGGAGGACACTAAGGATGATGGATGCTCTTGACCCTAGCCCCTACTCTGACCTAAGGTGCTAGTTGCATAGTCACTGGTAGCCTTAGGTGCCATTGAAGAGGTCTAAGCTTGGAGTGTTGTTGTTGAGTTGAGGAGGAGCCAAGGAGACACATGAAAACCCTAACTTGTATCTGTGGACTAGCAGAATTCGAGTTCTTTTGGGACTTAGAAAAAACAAGTAGACCTAAACCCTAAACTTGTCTACAGAAACTAAAGCCACTCTTTCATAAAAAAGATTAAAATAATGTGATATTCTCAATATTCTTATATATTCTTTTAAAAGGAATTTCTAAAAGTATATTCTATATATCTTTAAGGTTTAAGTTCCCCAGGTTTCTCATGCCCCATCAATCCCTGCCTAGGAGTTGAATGATATATGTTACTAAAGAAAAACCTTATAATATAAATTTAAATATTTCGATATTAAATTTTAAACAACCAATGACATACTTAAATTTTTTTTTATATATAAATGATTACATTACTTGTAATAGTTTTTTAAAAAATTATGATGTAAAATATGAATTACATTTGTGTAGTAATACCAAGAGGAATTGTTCTTTACATGAAAATTTATGATCATAATATAGGATTCAAGATTATTATATTTTGGAGTCCATCATTCATGTATTAAGGCAGCTAGAACAATACAGAAAATGCTTTCCAATTAGCCCCATTCTTATAAACAGAAATGCAAAAGAGTCTAATATTGCCTACTAACTATTATATCCTAAATAAGTTTATCATAGGAGCTCACTTGAGTAAGGAGCGAGTGGGATGTGGGAGAGCATCCAGTGCGCAAGCAAGCAGTTCATGCTTCAATGGCCACTGTAAGCTACATAAGCCCCCCAATTCACTTCTAGCTTCAGTAAGAAGTTGGATGATGCCTTGAGTGAGAGAAGAAATAAAGTACTCCGGTTTTGCTGCCTGTGCAAGAGAGAAATAGTCTATGGCAGAGATATCTACATGTACAGGTAAATCTCCCATAGCTCAAACCTTGGAAAAAAAGACCATGAACACTCAAAGTTTTCCAAATTTTCAGGGGGATTCAAGCGTTTTGCAGCTTGGATTGCCGGGACCAGCAGATCACGAATGACGAGAAGCAAGAGCGCAAGAACAGCAAGCCCAAGTATTCTTCGTCGGGAGTTTACAATTACTATAAGAGACAAAATTTGAGAACCAAAGTGACAATGGCTGCGGCTGCTTGATCATCCAAAATCTTTTGGAAGAGAAATATACACGCATATATACAATAGAAGAATCAGAAGCAAAAACGCGGGTTTTTCATATGCAGCTTCCACAAGTTTACGCTGGCGGAGCACCCGCTCGATCCAGGCCAAAGCTCTAGAAGACTTTTTTCGAAATGGATAAATTCGTAAAGCTTATTAATTTAAGTTGCACAATTATACTGCAAACAATCAGTGATTACTTTCGTATTCTTGTACACCAGCTTTGCAAGTGCATAGCTTGAGCGTGACAGTTTGGAAGTCGCGCACTGCAAAAGCCTTTCAAGTTTAGTTTGGTGGTTTTCCAGTGAGATCACAAACTTACCTCGGCCCTCGCGTCCATGTACCTTCTTCCCTGTTATCCCAAATTCTCCAGATATGCAAACAGTGAAGAAGGAAAAGATTTGGGCAGCCAGTAAACAAAAGGTTGCTTTTGCCATCTGCCTTTGATCAAATCCAAGACCACAATTATATAAATACTCACCTTTCGCAAGACCGTCTTGCCATCCTCTATGGCTCGATGATGAAGCTGGGAATGAATGCGCAACTGGCTTCAATGTCCACAGTTGTCAAGGACGTGTGATCGTAGTGAGCCGACGAGTGCCATGTTGAATCCTCGAGGTTGTATGCAACCGGAGCATAACCGTACGAGGACTCACACAACTCTGTGAAAACCATGATTGTGCTCCCAACAAGCAGCGTCGAGGGGTATAGCAACGTCTTTCTCGGCTTCCAATTCTTGCCATACAGGTCCTCATACCGCTTGCTTGACAAAAGCTTCGCTTTTCCTTCTCGACAGTCCAGCTCCCAGATAACCACACACCCACAAGAATGCGTGACGAAGAAAATCCTGTCTTTCCACCTCCAAACTCCACAATGGGCAGTGTCGTCGGCATACTCCTTGTAGATGTAACCATTGTTGAGAGTTGGCTCACCAACGAAGTGCTTGTGACAAGACCAGGCCATGGAATCGGGATTGTAGGCCATGAGAAAGTATGGCGGGTAATGGAGTCCGGCGCGTCCAAGCACGGAGCCATCGATCTTGGTATTTGCGCCGTCGAGCTCGCCAATAAAGGGCACTGCCGACTTCCAAACCCGCGACTCTGAATCATACTGGCGCGCCTGGTAGATCACTTCGTAGTCACTGCCAACTTCACTGTAGGTGATCGCCAGCTTGTAGGAACCTTTGGACGGATCAACCTCGAGATCTATCCTTTCGATGGGGTCGAGCGGACGAGAAGGGATATCGATTGGAGGCAGCCTCGTCCATTTGTTTGTCAATGGATTCCCCACCACAAAGTTCCATGCTGTGTCAGGCGCACGCGCCTCTTCTGCTAGCAATCCACAAACCAGGCCGTGTGAAGAAGAAACTCCCATCGAGAGACACCCACGAGGCCCTAGATTCAATCCGGTAGATCTTCTCGCGCCACTGCCCGGGTACCACACTTCTGTGTGGAAGCCGTCCTTTTGGCTGGTGCGCAAGACACAACAGACCTGGTCTCTTCCCTTCCATTGCTGGGCAAATTCCTGTGAAGCAATGGCGCTATGGCAGGATCTACAAACGCATCGGAGCCTCCCCAGATCGTCAAGATCCGGAGCAAGAGATCTCGCGGTAGCCGCTCCATTCTGCCCTGATCCAGAGAGAAAATCCCAATTTTTATGCTTCTTCTCCTTCCCTTTCAGTTGCCCTAAACGGAATGGCGAGCTTTATAAAAATCACACTTTTGTGTTCTTGACGATGTGCTGACAATGTCGTAGCAGGCAATCGCGCGCTTGTGAATTGCCATATCCAACCTCTGCTAGACAGAGGCCATGGGCAGGCGCTGGAGGAGCCGACGCTCGCCTGTCCGTTTCTTCCATGAGAGCTACCAAGGCGTCGTCGTTTGCCCCGGCAAAGGCTTCCTTGATCGCCGTGGACACTAAAACTCGCACCATCTATCAAACAAGCTACGTTAGAATGGAAGCGATGGAAAAAAAAATTCCTCGAGACAAACCTTTCTTAGAAACCTGTCCGCGACGAGCTCCACAACCATGACATTTTCCTGGAGAAAGCATCATCAAAACCAGTTTTTTCGAGCAAAACACGAGCAAACCTCGTTGGGAAATGGCAGCTTGGCGAGAGCAGCTCGAGCGTGGTAGAGTGTGCACACCGTAGCAGGCCCGCTGTTAGACAAAACAATAATTTCCTTTCTTAGCAGAGCTCTCGAAGCTTTTGTTTCCAAGGTTACCTGCTTCTGGCGATCTTTGTGTCGCGAGCGAAGATTGCGTATGACAAGCTGTGGCCTTCGAGAGCTCGCAACAGCGTTGCCACTTTAGAAACATCAATCTCGTCCCTGCTGCGAAGCGGAAAAATGTAAATGTAGCGTCTCCACTTTGCAGAAAAAATGGGATGGAAGTCGCGGTCTACCTGCATAACATTTCTCATTTAGCAAACACAGCTCTTCAAGATAGAACTCACCTCGGACGCTGACACTGCTCGCAGGATTGTTGGCATGGCGGAGTTGACAGCAGATTTCACGTCTTCCTCTTTGCATTCTCTCATCCATGTATCTACAAACAGGATTTGGGAGAGAACAACTTAGAAAACTCTGGCGGACTGGAGTGAATTACCTTACAGAAGGAGCAAACTTGTCCACAAGCGTGAACACCTTTGTCAGTCCTCCCCGCGACTGAAACTAGAGCTTCTTTGATCTTTCCCTGTTTCTCCAGATTACTTGCTCTCTTTCCATCGACAAACCTCCCAAGTTGCTTCTCAAGAACACTGGAAATCTCTCCTTAAGCAAGCAAGCAGTGGGAAAACGAAAAATTCCACCTTTGGACAGTCAGGAAACCCGGTTGCTTTTGCCATCCTGCGAAAGCTGTGCCGCTGTAAGAAAGAACAATCTTAAATGTCCTCCTTTCCCACCTTCCTCCTCTCTCTTTGGAACGATCGACTATGGGAAGCGACTTATCCTCTTCTTGCTGCTTGGTTTCCAAGCAGCGATCTTCAAATTTCTCCTGGAAATCCCTCTTAAATCTATCAAGATCCAGAAAAAAATGCTCACATTGTGCTCGATCCTCAGATCGCGAAGCCCGATCTGGCCATTCACAACGAGCTGATAGAACTTGAGCACGGAATCCCACGGCCGCTGCTCAAAGAACTCGTGGCAATCCCTGGAGCGACAGAAATTCTCATTCCAGCCCGACGCAGATAGCGCGCTTACCTCGCAGACCATCGTCGCTCCGCCATAGCTCTAGGAATTAGGGTTCTTTAAAGAAAGATGCATGTGCAAAATATTCTATTTGTCACTCTCGTCAGAACGAGCATACGTGGCAGATGACAAGGCGATTACGTCAGCAAAAAGACCAGACGTGGCAGCTGACGAGGACTCTTTTGCTCTTGTATACAGGCAAATTACTTTTGGGCCAAGCGTTCTTCCCGGCGAGCGATTTTCCTCTCGCGGGTGGCCTTGTTCTTGGCGCGCCTGGCCTCGAATTGATCCGTCAGGGTCTTCTCACGGGCCTTCTCGGCCTTGAATTTGTGGATGTTCTCCATGAGCACGCGCTTGTTCTTGAAAACATTGCCCTTCACCTTCATGTACATGCTGTGGTACATATGCTTGTCGATCTTCTTCGCGTCGCGGTACTTGCGAAGGAGACGACGAAGAACTCGCATTCTTCGCAGCCAGACGATCTTGGATGGAAGCCGAGCTTCGCGAGTGCCGTGCCTCTTACCTGATCGGAGCAAAACCAGCAAAACCAGAGCGATCAATCGAGGGAAATCGAGCAAAAACGAGGAAGAACTTAGCATACCTTTGCCCGAGTGGCGACCCTTCCTCTTGGCCTCGAGCTCGCGGCGGGCGCGCGCGCGAGAGTGGATTTTCTGGGGCTTTTTTATCACCAAGCCATCCTTGACGAGCTTCCGGATGTTCTGCCCTGATTGAGCGTAACGATCAAACACGAGAGAACACCCATCTTTCACTTGTTCTTACTGGAATTCGCCATGGAGATCTCGTTCACTTCATTGGGATCGAGCCACACCTTGTTCTTGCCGCACTTGAGGACCGCAGCCGCCAGGCGCTTCTGGAGAGTGAGCGCCACCATCGCTGCGGAGAACCCTACTCGGCCCTAAACTACGCAAACCCTAAACCATACATTCTTTATGCGCTAGATTCCCCCCTTGTACGACGGTTGTCAATTTATGACCACGTGACCCAAAAGCTAATGTATGGAGCAAACCTGACCGACGACGAGCATTCCCCTGTTCAAAATCGCAGCGCATTTGGAGAGAGCTAGTTAGGGTTTAGGGTAAGGCGCAAGGGATGGAAGCTGCCGCCGCGGGGTGAATCGCGAGGAAATCTCCAGCAGCTTTGCTGCTGCTGCCCTGCTGCTATTGCTGGTGCTGCTCTTGGTGTTGGATCTGTCATTGCGGCAGCGAGAAATGGATGAGAATCAGCGCTGGAATGGCACACAGCTTAATGCGTACAACACTGTGGTAGCAGCGAGTGGAATTAGGGCAGCCGGATCTGTGCCACTGGGGGATTCCATGGCCGGGGACGACAATAATGCATCCAGCGTCACCAGGCAAAAGGTTGCTGCGGCCAAGCAGTACATTGAGAATCACTACAGGGCCAAGGCCAAGAGTTTGCAAGAACGAAGAGAAAGGTACCATCTCGCTGCTTTTTAATTTTTTAATCTAGTTCTCGTTTCAAAATCAAAGCTTTGCTTGCTGGGTCTGCGAGCTCAATCGCCGTGAATTGATTGTTTGATTGTTTGTTTTTTTTTTTTTTTTTCGTTAGGCGTTCGTTGCTCGAGAGAAACCTGGCAAATGCCGATGTTTCGGAAGAGGAACAGCATACACTTATCAAAGACCTTGAACGTAAGGAGACAGAGTACATGCGACGCCAGAGACATAAAATGGGCGTCGATGATTTTGAGTTGCTAACTATTATAGGGAGAGGAGCGTTTGGGGAGGTATGTTTTGGGCTTGGCTTCAGTTATATCCTCTGGCTGTTACTCACTGACTCAAGTCTTGTCTGTTCAGGTGAGACTGTGTCGACACAAAGAAAACGGCGAGATTTATGCCATGAAGAAGCTTAAGAAGTCCGAGATGCTTAGTAGAGGACAGGTAATTTGTTTTCCGTGTCCCTGCTCTACGTAACTCTAACGATCGTTTACAGGTGGAACATGTGAGAGCTGAAAGGAATTTGCTCGCGGAAGTTGATACTCACTGCATAGTGAAGCTGCACTACTCGTTTCAAGATGCCGAGTACCTTTACCTCATCATGGAGTATCTACCGGGTGGTGATATGATGACGCTTCTTATGCGCAAGGACACGCTAACGGAGGACGAAGCTCGCTTCTATGTTGCGCAGAGCGTTTTGGCAATCGAGTCCATTCACAAACATAATTACATTCACAGGTGTGTTTTTTATTCGCCAGCTCTTGAAGTTCGCTGATTTTGTTGTCTGCAGGGACATTAAGCCCGACAATCTACTACTTGATAAGAACGGGCACATGAAGCTTTCAGATTTTGGTCTTTGCAAGCCTCTCGATTGTAACACGCTCTCAACTTTGCACGAAAATGAGGAGGATGAGCCACGAGAACCGATGGACATAGATGAGCGCCTTGTAAGCCCATCAACCGGTAGTTCTTGGCGGAGTCAGCAAGAACAACTGTTACACTGGCAGAAGAACAGACGTATGCTGGTAATTTACAATCTATTTTTCTTCCGTAAGAACAATACAGAGCTCAGTCACGTTGTAGGCCTTTTCAACGGTTGGTACACCCGATTACATTGCTCCGGAAGTGTTGCTTAAGAAGGGATACGGCATGGATTGCGACTGGTAAGAACAACTTCGTTCATTTAGTTGCTATCAAGTTTCCTTCAGGTGGTCATTAGGAGCAATCATGTTTGAGATGCTAGTTGGTTACCCTCCATTTTATTCAGATGAGCCCATGAATACCTGTCGTAAGGTAATATTTGCTTTACTCGTTTCGGTAACGTTGTATCCTTTCCTTTTCCGCAGATAGTGAACTGGAGAACACACCTGAAGTTTCCTCAAGAAGCGAGATTATCTCCAGAAGCCAAGGATCTTATTTGTAGGTTGCTGTGTGACGTTGAGCATAGGCTGGGGTCAAGAGACACAAACGAAATCAAGGCAATTACTTACCTCTACTTTTTCCAAAACCTTGTGAATGTTTTTAAACATGTCAATTTCAATCCAGGCACACCCGTTCTTTAGAGGAATCGACTGGGATCATCTTTATGAGGTCGAAGCAGCTTTTAAGCCAGAAGTAAATGGGGAACTTGACACGCAAAACTTTCAGAAGTTCGAAGAGGTTAAGTAATTGAAAGCATTTATTATCTCAAGGCTGACTTGGCAAACATTATGTACTTCTAGGCTGGAACTCAAGGTGATCTTCCCTCGAAGTCAGGACAGTGGCGCAAGGTTTGTCTGCTTGATTTCCGTGTATGGCTTTCTAGCTGACGCTCTATACTGCAGGATGTCAATTTTGTCGGGTATACATACAAGAACATTGATCTTTTCAAAGCTAAGAACTCTCCTGTTGGTAAGTTTTCTAGACACCCTACGTCCTTGCTCTAGCGATGTAGCTCATTCTTGTTTTTCTTTTCTTTCTTTTTTCCTGCAGAGCTAAGGAAGAGAAGCCAAAGTCCTTCGAGGCCGTCCATTGTCTCAATATTTGGTAACGTGACGGTTTCTATATAAACATGTCTTCTTCAACGCTTTTGTTACAGAGAAAAACAACTCGTCAGACGAGATTAGCGACAGTGCTCCAACTGAAATGGAGGTGTCAACCATGGAAACCAGCGTTGTTCCGTCAAATCCTCCCTTACCCTGTCAACAGGCCCCGACGTTTTCATTTAGTAACGACACAAGATAGCTGTATAAAGCCCTTTCGTTTACTGGGATCCATAGGTACGGTAGTCAGGTGAGGATCTATAGGAAGAAGGTAAAAAACAGGGACAAGAGAGAAAGAGAACAGGAAGGGGGGATCTTTTCCTCTCAAGTTATAGCTCGCCAGGCAGCAAAGGGAAAGGGAAGAAGTGACATAAAAAGTAGTAGCTAGCTATAGCTAGAATGGCAGTTCGGGCCTTGGGCTATGCAGTGCGCGGTACCGTCTTCGTCTTCCACCACTCAATCCGTCAGCGGCACCAATAAAGCCTTTGGTTGGCACAATTACCGCAGCGATCCACAAGAAGAAGGAAAAGACTTCCAGCTTTGTATAAACTGTGGAAGCTCACAGAGACGTCAGTGGCGGAGCACTGGATCTGGAGCACTGGACAGGGAAGCGTAAAGTTTTGTGTAGCAGCGGCAACAACGAGATCCATCATCGATCAATCAATCAAGAACTAGAAGATCAAAGAGGACAGTGGGGTCAATTTGGACAGCTGCTGCTACTGCTGCGTGCTGCCGCGATGATCCTACTTTTTTTGGCTGCTACCACTTTTCTTTCGCGACCAACAAGCACGGCTTTTCGGACAGACTCTGTGGAGAAGAGCTGGCGTCATGGTGTGACGAGATTCATTGTAGTATGATATTTTTTTCTCTCTTATCTTCCTCTTGGGATTTCTAAAACTGTCAAGCCAAAGACGGTGTGGATGGCGCGAAGATTCAAATTCAAATTCAAAACGATGCCGAATATGCCGTTCACACGTGGCGGGCATCGGGCGGTGTTGCCCTCGCATTCAGCGCCAAAACACTCTTCATTAAAAAAGAGCGTTGTCAAGAACCCTAGCGAGCGAGCGATCGGTGATGGCGCGATGGAGCGAATCAGGGGCGGGCGAGGCGCTGGTGCAGCAGCTGCCGCGATGTCGCCATCGATTCTTTGTCGGCGCCATGTGGTAAATAGCTCTTTTGGCCGATTTTTCAAGCTGCCGCGCTGCCGCGCTGCTGCAAGCCTGATTTCCTGCCCTTGTCGTCTCTGATCGCCTCTGATCGCCTCTCCATCGCGTCTGATCGCATCGCATTTAAGAGATTTCTTTGTTTGCACGCCCCTGGAAGCCTTAAGCCTTAACCTCTCTCTCCTCCCTTTTACATCACAGGTCGCGCATGCAGTACGACGATAATTTGGCATCTTTCTTGTAAAAAGCCATAGCTTCGATCGGTCTGTTCCTGTTTGTCTGATGGATCTGGTGCGCTCTGGCATAGCCCTCTCTCTGTGCTGCCAGTTTTCACATAGCTATGTGACTTATGCTGCCTGCAAGGAAATATTCTAACTTCTAAGCTGATGATCCTGATCACCTCTTTGCGGTACACTAGCGCCCCCAGTAGTCCAATCATCCTTGCTAGCGATTCGCACGGATCATAATTCTCGCCTTGCACTTCTCTCTTTATTGCTGCCTGAGTGAGAGCCAACTTGGTTGCTCTCTCTAACCATACCTTTTCCAGAGCCAAGGAAAAGTAGTTTGTTCTAGTTGGACTGGGCTTCTGTCTGGCCGGCTGGCTGGAACTGGTTCCTTTCTTCTATCCTTTAAGCTCTCGCTTCGCACCGTTTGGTTCTTTTGTCTAGCTCCTCATTTCTGAAAAAAAGATGGTATATTTCCTCCCCTCCCATCGTGTCTGAATGGGACGTGAAACAGTGTAGTCGATAGAAGGAGAGATGGAAAAAAGGACATCTTGGTTTCATGGTCCCCGCACTCGCCATTAGTGGCGATGGCTTGCTGTTGAAACTACAGAAGGACTGACTTGATTCGAAGCTTGTGTATGTTTTAAATTCCTCTGGTGCCAGGACGTTTCTTTTCTCTAAATGTGATAGGCAGATCAAGACGTTCTTCTCGACTCCAATTTAGCCGATCCAGTTCCTTGCAAGTTGCAAGCATATATGATGCTTTCTCGCTATAGAGTTTTCTCTTACGGGACGGCCCAACCTGCAAGACTGCTCCAGTTGTGAGTTTATATAGGTGTATCTTTTTCTGCGAGAACGATTTTTAATCCCTTTACAATTGTGCAGCGGAAAATTCCGAAAGACGAGAGGAATGTGTCAACTATATTCCCAGAAAACCAGATGTCAAGCGTGCTGCCGCGGCTCAGCTGGTGAGGGAGGGGATCGCCATGTCTAGACATGAGTGATGAACGGAGACAACTGGAACGTACAGTTGAATCTTCATCAAAGGCACACGAATCTGAGAGCAGCAAGACGAGGAAACCCCAAGGAGGAGGACAGGGAGGAGGAGAAGAAGAAGCCGAGAAATTGAAAACAGCCAACACATCGTCACTGCGAATCCGATCGACAAGAACATCGCCAAGTCAAACGACGAAAGCACGGACAACCAAGTCTGGTGGAAAGGATCGGCACAGTAAAGTCAATACAGCTAGAGGCCCGAGGGACAGGCGAGTGAGGCTGTCCGTCTCTACGGCAATCCAGTTCTACGACATCCAGGATAGGCTCGGCTATGATCAGCCCAGCAAGGCTATAGAGTGGCTCCTCAAGAAAGCAAAGCCGGCTATCGACGAGCTCAACCAGCTCCCGCCGGCTCCGCTCTCAATTGGATGTGCAAGCTCGATAACCCCATCCAAAGACGAGAATTCTCAATCCACAAGTCAAGCGCAAGCTGGTTTCACTTCCACTACCGCTGCCGCCGCTGGAGAAACTTTCAATCCGTATCACTTCCAGCCAGAGCAATCGTCTTCCGCTTTAGCAGCACGGCAGGACAGTCATGCGTGGAAGCTCGAACAATTTCGCCATGCTCACGACTCGAGAGAAGATTCCAGGTTGAAGGCACGGGAACGAAAGCCGAGCTCGAGTAGCGCGCACGCAACGGAAGAATCACATCACCAACATCAGCACCACGAACAACTTACTTCTTTCCTTCATCAAAGCACCGTGTTTGACACGACGCCATCGTACACCTACAACAACAGCACTAGCAGCAGCAGCAGCAACATCATCAACACTCCAATGCGCTCGTCCTTCACGCAGCTTCTCCAGTCGCCACTCCCCAACCCGCTGCAAAGCTTCATCCAGAGCTCGTCGCATCATCAGCTCCTTCAGAACCAGTTCCTCAACACGCTGCAGGGGCTCTATCTCCCGGCTCCATCTCTAGGCCCGCTTCATCACTCGTTCCAGCAAGAGATCGCCGAGGCTGCCGCAACATCACAGCTGGGAGGAGGAACAGGTTCACTCCATTCTTTTCACCATCATAACTCTCCTCTTGTCCAGGTTCCAAGCGGCAGTCACGCCTCTCTCGTAAACCAGCAGTGGCCATCGCCGGGAGTGATGAATCCACTCCAAGTTCCATATGGTCGGGGCAGCTTGCTCTCCAGTCTCACTACTTCGGCAGCTTTCACCTCCGACATCGTCTCCTCCCGGCAACGCAAACAAGTCGACATGGACTATAGCCTCTCCTCGAGGCCGGCCATGGCTTCGTCTCCTCGAGTTTATAGTTTGGTACCAGCGCGGATTCAAGGCCTGGACGATGACGACGACATGGATCAACAACAACGACGGCAGTCACAAACCGAGAACTGAATCAAGAAAAATGGGGGAAAACGAGAGATAAGTGATTCCTTTTTTTTTCGATTCGCTTGGTTCTGTTTTTTCTGGGGAAATGTGCTTCCCCTGTTTACAGGAAGATTATAAAAACTCGAGAAAATAGAACGAAAAAAAGAATAGAGAAAGAGTTCCACTAGTTTGTCCTTCCAGGACAAAAGCGAAGAGAAAAAAAAAGGCTCACCGTGTCATTGATTGGGGGAGAGAGACAAAGATGTACAAAGTGAGACAAGGTGTACGGAGGCAATAAAAAAGAAAGAAAGAGGGGTTCTATGTACGGCCTTCCCTTCGAAGAGATCTCTAAGAGAAAGGAGGAAACGAGGAAACCAGGGAGAGACAAGGAAAAGAAAAATGGAGAACGAACAACAAAACTGGCGCAACCGTTGCGTTCTCTAGGTTCTTTCTTCTTCGCTTCAGTCTCTTTTTTTTTTCTTTTTTCTTTCGGTGAAGGAGGTGAAATTTATTTACCTGGCATTACGTCCATAGGCAAGAGCGTGGTGATTCGCAGTAACTCCTCCTCCTGGTTGCTGGTGATACATTCGTAGCCTCGAGGGTGATGAGACATTCTTGTTGCCTGTTACTAGCAATGTGGCTTTGTCCGGCGGCGATGATGGAGGTTGTGTGGAGGCAAAGGACATGAAGCTTCCACCGCCGCTACTGTTGGTGGCGGTGGCGCTGGTGTTGCTATCCTCGGCATACACTCCAGGGCTCTCCTCTGGCAACACAAACAGAGGCCTCGTCAGCTTTGTACGTTTGTTGTTGCCGCTTTGTCTCTATGTACTTCAAACGGGCTTACCAAAAAGCGTCTTGATTGATGGCCTTTTGGACTTTCCTTTCTTCCGCAGCTCCGCTGTGTCGAGCAAATGCGAGGGAGTAAGAAACTGGAAGAGATAAGAGGTGACATCGACGTACCAACACCGGGCAATTGCGAGTCTTGGATGATCTCGAAGTTCTTGTACGTGTAGCCAACAAAGTTGACGTCCTTGGAAGGAAGCATCTAAAGAATCGAGGAAGTAAATAACACTTTGTAGCTTTGCCGAATGATTCAACGCGAAGTACTTACCTTTCTCCATGGGCCAGCCTTGGAAGACGACTGTGTTTGGCCGATGGCCTACAATAAAAAAACTTAGGTGAGACGTTTTAACTCTAGCTTCGAGATGCTCACCTCTTCAAACTTTTCGAAGTTTTGTGTGTCCAGCTCATTGTTAACCTCGGGCTTGAACGCGGCCTCCATTTCGTAAAGCTTATCCCACTCAACGCCTTTGAACCAGGAATGCGACTGCAATTTACCACCGACAGCTATAAGGAACCTACGCGCCTATGAAACAGAAAAAGAAGACGCACCTTAATCTCGTGTGTTCCTTTTGTTCCAAGTCGTTGGTCGACACCGCAAAGCAAACGACTCATCAAATCCCGTGCCTCGACAGACAACTTAGCCTCGTCGGGAAATTTCAGGTGCGTTCTCCAGTTTACAATCTATGACAACAAGACCATTAGAAATCCTTCCATACTCTACAAAATCATCTACCTTTCTGCAGGTGAACATGGGCTCGTCCGAATAGAATGGCGGGAATCCCACTAGCATTTCATACAAAATGGCTCCCAGCGACCACCTGAACAAACCAGAAACAAGTATTATAAGAATTTTAAAATGCGCACGAACTTAGTACCAATCACACTCCATGCCATATCCTTTTTTTAATAAAACTTCAGGTGCAATATAGTCTGGAGTTCCCACAGTTGAGTATGCCTGGAATCCAGGCACACGACAAGTCAGAACTTTCACCATATGGACAAGAGTATTAGGATTTCCTTACCAGCATGCGTCTGTTTCTTTGCCAGTGTTGAAGTTGCTCCTGCTGAGTACGTCTCGGTGCGGGACTAGAGGTGCGCCTATTAACGTCCAAACCATCTCTTTGATTCTTGTCTGTGGAAAGGTCGTTTTCCCGTAGCATGGGAAAGTTGCTGCAATCCAGCGGCTTGCAGAGACCAAAGTCAGAAAGCTTGAGATGGCCATTCTTATCGAGGAGTAGATTGTCAGGCTTGATATCCCTGCCGACG